CACACACACACACACACACACACACACACACTCCCCTTCTCTCCCCTCTCTCTTCCTCTGCTCCACTGGGCTTGTGAAGGTGAGCCAGTCCCCGGTGGCACTACTGTACAGATTGCAATGTTTCCTCTTCAAATGGAGGTAGCTCTCATGTGAAAACCCATGTGAAGAGGGACCGGGCTGTTTATTTTTGTCTTTTACTGCACACTTATCTCTGGGCGTCCTTGTTAATTAGTCTCTATCTCAGTCTTTGGTCAGCTGCTTTTGTCATTACAAGGACGGGATGAGGTTGTTCTGTGTGTTGCTTCAAAGTGAGGCTGATGAAAAGCACGCATCCCTGAGGTTTTAGGCCAGTTTGCTGCCACCCAATCACTTGTCCTTAAAAGCTTCTTTATGAGCAGGACGTGTGGGGGAACAATAAAAGCAGTAGGAGGAATGCTTAAGAATAGATCTGAAGTGACTCAACCTCTAATGGATGTGCCTAATCATTTTTGATAGTGTCCATCTGTGGTTCTGTAATTGATGTCTTAGGGCAGGTGCTTTCCTGGTACACTTCTTTGTCTGACATCTATAGAGCTGAAGTTTCTTCACCTCACTTCCCGATTAATCTCTGTTCTTTTAAGTTGCTCTGGATTTATTGTGTGTGTGTGTGTGTGTCTGTCTATGTATCATCTTTTATCATTTTTTTCTCAAAAGCTGCAATGTAATAAAGGATTAGGCAGGTCTCTAAAAATATACTCGCTAAAGAAATTGTAACACGTAAGTTATGTAAATAAAACACAGATCTCTAGGGCACTGGACTAAAATTCTTTTGTGGTGTTTAGAGGACTTCTGTGCCTAAAGTTCATGTCATGCATTATGACCGTTGATGAAATATTGTTTGTTTTGTGTAATCTTTCAAAAGATTTTCACATTTCTACAACTCAGTGAAGTAACAAATGTTTATTTAATCTTAAATATGGAAAAAAGTGAGCCTGTTCTCAGATTTCGATTTGAACACTACCCTGTACATTTACTCATGTGCACATGAATGCCTTGGTGAGCACAGGCTGTTATTTGGCCATCCTGTTGCTGCAGGTGAACTGATTGCGCTTCCCCTATGTGTCGGTGCAGGTTTTTGGAGATTATTATCACTTCAGGCATCACGCCGTGGAGAAGAGAGCTTTGTCTGGCCACAAGAGGATGCACATCAGACTGCAAAAAGAACCACAGGTAAGACTGTTGTCAGCACTAGCACAGCTTATTGTAGCACTTCATGTTGGCAACAAAAGGCCAAAAGACAGATTGGATTGCACATAGAGAGTGGGTATATCACGAGAGAAAAGGGATGTCAGAATCGGTGACAGCTTGTCAAAGTCTTTGCACCGGTCCCTTCCATCTGTCCCCTGACCCAATCCAAAGTAGCTGTAAATATGCAAAACCACCCAGCACAACAGCTGGGAGAGTCTGTTATTAGCTGAGCATTTTCAGTAGTTTTTCTTTTCTTTTCTTTTCTAATAAATATTTTCATTTACATTTTCTAAAACGTAAATGCCACAATAAAAGTGATTTTGATTTGATTTGATTTGAAAAATCGCATTTGTGGGGCATCTACTAATCGGAAGGCTGGTGTGTCGATCCCTGGCTGCTCCAGTCTGCATGGCAAAGTATTCTTGGGCAAGATACTGAACCGATGCATCCATTGGCGTGTGAATGTAGTTGAATGCTAGATGGAAAACACTTGAGCATAGTAAAGGTGCTTATGTGAATGGGTGTGAATAGTGAAGGAGGCATCTTTTTTCTAAAGTGCTTTGAGTGCTCGAGCACAAAAGCGTTATATAAAAGTCATTTACCATATATAGATGTGATATTTACCCGATATCAACCACCATTTTAGAATTGGTTCACAAAATCAAACTTTCTGTGGACCACATATAAAAACCAAAGTGCCAAAATTGGGAGATTTTTTTTCTTCTCCTTTTCACGGATTATGGAATAAGCAGCATCATATCACCAGACCACTGTGTATTTGTACTGTTCCTGAACAATAAAACAGCATCTACTAACCAGTAAAAAAACCTAAATGCGCTTTTGCTTTTTCCCTGATAATAATGTTTATGTTCTGGCTAGAAACAAAATTGTCGGTTGATGTTAGAAAACACTGATTCACATTATAAACCTTATATCACGCTCTTTATTATAGCAGAATTTGCATCTGCAGCCAACAGATCAAAGCACATCAGTTACAGAGAAAATAATACTTGCAAAAATGTGAAATGCTTTTCTTTAAGCATGAAATGCTAATTAGATATGACATTTAGAGATCATTACAGCACTGCCTTCTGAAGGCAAAGAGATATTTACTAATGCTGCAAGCATTTTAAAAAAATCAGATTTGGGTTAAACTATTAAGTAATACACAGGAGTTTTTTTTTTAACCTGTCTTGGCAGGAAAAGGAAAAAGGGAGAGAAAATAGGAGAAACAATACAAATAAAGCAACAGAGCATGAGTAGAAAAACACACTGGGTCACCAAATAATGTACCTGTAAGAAAACACATACAAAAAACAAACAGCACTTAGAGGGGAAATGCAAACCTACGGGAGATTTTTAAGCAAACACAGCAGATATAGTCTTATTTAGTTTGTGTGGAGGAAAGAACTGAGTGTTAAAGTGCTGATATTCTACAGTTTATTCTAAAAATGTAGAAAAGATAAATGTGCAGTTACCATTATCAAGTGGACATAAGTAGATGACTGTCACCTAAAGAGGTGAAACCATATTAGATCATAACACTTCTTTTATTAAACGTCTCCTTTTAAATCTATTTGTGTATGCATATGTGTGAAATAGGAATTATTTAAATTAACCTTTTCAGCTTTTGTATATTAAAATAAACCCTGGATGAAGGCTTGCAGTAAGCTGGTGTGAAGTCTGTAGTATAGTAGTGTGAATTGTGTGGCAAAACCTGTTTGAATAAAACCCCATCTGTATACATGGGAATTTATAGTAAAACTATGGCTAAATCTGCCATATATAATGTCATTTGACTTCTCTACATTAAAAATATTTCTCAGAATGTTTAGTAGCTTCTAAAAAATCAAGTACCTCACATTTCAGGGACCAACAGAAGTACTGCATCTGTGCAAATGTCTGCTTTACAGTTCTTCTGTTTTCAGTCTTACTGCTAAAAGAGTTAGCCATTTGTTGCTGCAGTGTTTACACTGGAAACAAGGGAGGCAGCTGAGGTAATTGCTGCTCTAAAAGCATCTTCAGAGCTGCCGGACTGGTGCTAAAAAGTAGGCAGTTACCCAGTGAGAACATCTATAGCAAGGTAGTTTTGCCAAGTGCAACCCAAGGACTAATCTGTAGCTTTCCTGAGTCCAAGTCATTCCAGCCAAGGAAAGGACTGATGTGCTCTGACAAGCTCTGAGGCCCCAAGACATCATTAGTGGGATATGGTGACGTGCACTGAGGCCAGTGGTATCAGGGGTTGGAGTAAGTGGATGACAACAAGTCTCTGAGAGCATCCAGGGAATCTGGTTGCTGAGCAGATATCGGTACTGTGGCTCTCAAATTCATAAAACATAGTTTTCAAATCTAAAAAAAAAACCCCACACACAATTAAGTAAATTTAGCACAGGCAGTGGCAGAAACAAGGGTTTTATTAATCAGAATCAGAATCAGAGGCCCCGGTCCGCGAGATCTTCAACGCACACCTCCGGCAGAGCTTCAACAGCATT